TCTCTCTCTCTCTCTCTCCACCAGAGAGAAACTTCTGTGTGTTTGGACCAATGATGATGCTCCCGGGGAAGCAGCAACCAAGTGTAAGACAAACCCTGGAGAACAGGCCAAAAGTGCTGGAAGGATATTTATTGCACAGCAGTGGTGGGAAGCTAATGAGGACATTTACGGTACTTAAATAGAATTTCAAAGCACTTGTACTCAGTCTTTTAGTATATCTTTTTTTCCCACTGCATTTCAGAGGAAATATTGTACTTTTAACTCACACAACGGCTATAGCTACTTTTCACCAGAAATACATCACGACTTTTTGCCCTTTATGTGGCCCCTGCCCCTCAAATAGCGTGAGTCCACCACTGCATCTGTACTTTTATTTAAGTCTGATTTCTAATGCAGTTGTACTTTTAAATGAGAATTTTTACACTGTTGCATTGGTACTTTTAAGTAAAGATGGAGTACATCCACCACTGACGTAGGAGGAGAAATGGAAGTAGTACACACATAAATACATGAATAGAAATAATGAGAAGGAAAGAAAACGTGCTTTCATGTAAAAAGAAAAAAGAGAAATATGATATTAAAGAGGAAACTATACAGATCACATAAATTTGAATAATAAACGATCCCTCTCTTCCAGGAATCAGAACAAATGATGTTCATTTATCTCAGAGGGACAAAACTCCCTGCATATTAAAGTACACTAGTCAAGTGTATTTTATTTATATAGCCCAGAATCACAGATGACAAACTTGCCTCAGACAGCTTTGCAATCTGTACAAAATGTGACACCTGCTATCCTTTGACTTCGATTCCGGGTGAGGAAAAACTCATGGAAACTCCAGGAAGAGCAACAAAGGAGGAATCCATCTTCTTATTAAGTTCAATAAGTTATGTTTTGAGTTTCATGGGATGTAAAAACCATTTGGAGGGGCATCATTTGTACATGGACATCTTGAAAGACCATTAAAAGATAATCATTTTCTCCTTTTGATCACAATAGTCCTTTAAGGTTTATTTCCGTCGGTTTGGTTTCTTGGGAAGCAGCCGCCCACCTCCACAGTCTCTGGCCATTCTTCGTAAATGTTGGTTTTCTTATCATTAACAGCTTTCTGACATGTGAACAGGGAAGAAGACATTTGTTTTGCCATCAATTATGTTTTTTTTTCTTTTTGCCTATTGTAAAATACTAGATGGTTCTGACACAAATACAACAAAATGAATGCAGTGGAGCGGGTCACTTACCTTCTCAAAGGGGCTTTTGTTTCCTGTCCCTGCTCTTCCAGCAAACACCCAGTTGTCTCTGACTTTTACTGACTTGATCAAAGAGCTTCCCATTCCAACAAATATCTCCCTCATTTCCTTTGTCATTCTGCCACAGAGTAGAAGAAAAGGGTCATGCTGTGCGATATGAAATCCTTTTAGCTGTTTAATCATTGAGATTTAGGCTTACTTTGCTGTCACATCATCAAACGAGGCCACCAAAACAATCATTCCAGATTTGATCTCCTTCAGGAATGCCAGGATGTCTTCTTTGTCTTTTGATAGAGTCATTTAAAAAAACAGATCATTTTAAGGTTTCAATAAACTTGGAAACTGAAAACAGAATTAAAAGATTTTTAAAAATGCCTCTTACTTCCAATTTTCATATTAAGAAAGCCAGATTTTTCCACATCTCCATTTTCACCTGAAATAAGAAAACAACATCATTAACAAGTGATTATTATTATTAATAATCAATTTCCAGGTCTATATAACAGCAGTTCTAGAGCTTTTGATCATATCAAATGATATTCATCAGCAGATAGAGTTTAGAAGAAGAAGATATACTTTAATAATCCCCGAGGGGAAATTGTTATCCAGTTGTCATTAAATTGTAGATTGTCTAAAACTTTCTTTTTTACGAAAGCTCAACTAATTAGTAAACCAAGCCAAGATTGTTTTATCAACTGATATTTCCAAGGTCAAAAATTTAATTTGAAACTATTTTATTAAACATTTTAAGCTTTTTTAAGAAAGGGCATTACACGTTTAAATTATTCACTGTAAGTGTTTCATAGTTCAGTTTACAAATCCAACCGTATGCAAACACTAGTACAATATAAACAGAGTATTTTACTCACTGTTTACCACCACAATGTTCAGTCCTGGACCCACATTACTCAACAGGTGGCTCATAATGCTGTTGAGATAGCAATAAGGTTTAGTTTAACTGCAGAGGAACAATTTTGTTAAAAAATCAGATTCTACCATGTTAAACACGTACATTTTACCATTGAAACAGATCTTTGGTCCGACAATATTAGCTGCTCCACTCCTGATATGTAAATCAAAATGGTCGGGTGGGCAGACTCTGGAGAGGCCACACTTTGGCACAGACTCTTGCAAGGACATGGTAAATGTATCTGTTTTGAGTTCTGGTTTGATTTGATCTAGGTGATTAAACCCTGAAATAAAAGAAAGGAGATAGTATTTATGGCAAATAAAACTATGGATGACGTAGCTTTGGATTTAGATTTTAATAAGCAGAAATGAGCTCACCAAGAATGTGTTTTGCTTTCTCCTGTACATCAAATACATTGATGGAGATCCCCCATGTAATTAGGGAGACAACAATTATGGCACCAAAGTGCAAAACAGCTGTCAACCACAAAGAGTAAATAGATGAAGATCTGCAGACATACAACCAAAACTACCATTTTTTTTAAAAATAAATAAAGTAAAAGCTCACCTCGATATCTCATATCTGCAATAAATCAGAGACTTTCTGGTCCTAAAGGGAAGAGCTGAGGCCTTTGAAATGTACTTCAAGTACTTCCTGTCAAAAAGAAGAGAAAGATACAGCAGAGCTTTGGTGTCATCTCATCTGTGAACACACTCCCTGATAATTCCTACAACCATGGCTTGTGCGAGAGCTGTTCGGATATGCAAAAAGAAGTGTTGGCCCTCCTCCTCCTTGCTACACAAAAAACCAGGATGTGGCATTATATATATACACACACACCCAGTGAACTAGATGATCAAGTTTCTCTCTTTTACAATGTCAAACTGGGAGAGTGCCCACCAGTAATAGATACTGTTTGTAGGGAACAATGTGGTCTGCAAACAGCAGATTGTGCTTAGCTGGTGTGCAAACAAGCATTTGAAACCTGGAGAAGAGATGATACAAAAAAGGGGGAAAAAAGGCCAAAAGCTTCGTATTTCAAATTGAATGGGTAAATGAAAGAAAATAGGTTTAAAAAATGTCAGTGTCATTTATCAGACTTTTCTATTTGCATGTGGATTTTAGTAATCCCTTTTGATGTCTGGTATAAAACTGCTGAAAAATAATTGCTACAGACCATTTAATAAAAAACATTAAAAAAAACCTCACTAGAAGCAAATAAATATGAAAAAAGCACAAGCACAAAATCTGGTAAGAAAATAAAAATGCAATTAGGTTAGGATGAGAAATTAATTTACAAAACCACATTTCACCCTGCAGGTAAAGGTCACTGAGATTAAAACTTGTTTTTCAAAGGAAACCTGGGGAAGAGGGAGTGCAAAAACTGGAGATATCACAATAAAGACAACATACAGACCAATAGAGTCTGTGTTTTTGTCAGGACATAAGGCATTAAAGTCCATATTTGTGATGGACAGGCAACTCTGAATTAGTTGTTATTTACATATAAATGGTGAAAGGCGTGATAATCCCTTCAAGCAGAGGTCAGGCCCATGTGACGATCCTTAAACAGTAGCTCTTACCTTCCTATCCAAACAAAAATGTCCCTACAGGCAGTAATGAACTGGTATTATGATTGTTATTAAAGTTACTGTGGCCAAACCATAATACATAATGATAATTGTATCCATCAATAAACAGTAGAGTAGCTGATGGTCTACATGGCCATATTTTAAGAAATGAACCACATACAGACAGGTGACAAATTACAGGAAGAACCAGCACAAAATCCATCAAATAATTGGTAGGCTTCCACGAGCCTCCAGAAAAGCTTCAGTGCTCCTTGGCTTTAATGTGTCACCCATTTATATCACATGAAATTCAATGTATAGAAATGAATGAAATTACCCTAAACTAATTGACACACAGTGAACATAGGGCCTTTTCAGCAGCCCACTTTGCCTGGTCGGTAATCCAATAACACTGAGAGAACTAAGAACAACACTTGTAAGCATGTTTAATATTTATAATAAGTGTGTTCGCCAACATTAGTCTGTGTCACATGTTTAATATTGTTTTCTTGCACCTGCTGTATCTTAATTACTAGTATAGACTTTCCACGTCATCACTGTAAATGAGAATTGGTTCTCAGTTGATTGAGCTTGTTAAAAAAATGTGAAATAAATAAAATTAAAATCATTTAGATGTTGCTAAGATACAGTAAATGCCATGAAAAATGTTTCTGACACTTGAAAATTATTGTAATGAAATGTCAAAAAGCATTAAAAGACACACTAGAGGTACCCCATGGTGCAGTACAGGTTATAGGTCTTCCAGTTTATTTGTCTCTGTAGCTCTCAACTTCCCTGTTTGCTAAAGTATTTATATATATATATATATATATATATATATATATATATAAACAGACGGCTGTTACATATAAA